GTTTACCCGTCACCGTCTTCCAACCGGTATTCTAGTGTAGCTTCGGGTGCCCGAATTCGAGTAATGTTTTTTATAACACATTTGCTCGTAAAGCGTCTCTTATTGCACCAATTTCAATATCATAATCTATCACATTACACACGCGTGCGGTAATGTAAAGTAAAACGCACGGCTTATTGTTCCGTCTAAAATCAAACGATACTTTTTTAAATCTTGGCAAAGAGTTTTTATGTAAGAAAGGTAGCCAACATTTTCTTAATAAAATTAACTTTGGGAGATAAAATATAATATATAAACATTTAATTCTTTAATTTGATTCATTTTGACAATAAATTACAACCATGTATCGGTAACAAATTCACAAAAATATTAATTTACTATATTGGTAACACTGGCTGTTTTTTGTTCCTTTGCCTAAAAAAGCGTTGATGCGCGCGCATCGCTAATCTGTGAAAAAGTTATTTCTTTTTCTTTGCCCTGTATTGTTTTTATTTGAAAATATTGTCAAGTAGTAACGAATTTATTAATTTGTCACCGCCAGAAGTCGAAAAAGGCTATGCTAAGCCTCTTGCCCGAAAAATCCACGGATAGATACTTACAGTCAAGCGTATCAAAATTTCATCTTATGGTAAACAAACAAAGGTGCAAATTCATTTTCAGAAAATACGTACGTAGGTAAGTAGTATTATTTCCTCGCAATGTGTTATAAAACGTCGTATGACATACGTGCGGTTTGATAATTACAGCCTCTGCCTTCTTATAGACGTCACCTACGGCTCGGGCTAACAATATCGCCTCGGCTGTAATTCTCAGCTTACCGCACTTATATCATTTTGTAGGTACTATTATGCACCCAAATACGAGATATCGACCAAATGCAATTACGGCATATGGCTGAATAAAGAGGGACCCACAAAATGGGAAAAGACGTCTATTTGACAAACACCAAATGGTGCACCCAGCAATCTTGTCTCAGTCACTACAATATCAACAAGCTCAATGTTTCGCCTTCTCTAAATAAAAGGTGATGTCACAGTTTTTCCCTGTGTCGTTCGCCAGACTCGGTAAATGCTGGCCTAATGTCCAGTCCAAATTTTAATGATTCATAGTTGGGTAATCAATCATACTAGCCTGTGCTGCGGAGGGACATTACCCAAAATACCGCAACTAGTTTTGTTTTGGTATCTACTTATTTTATAATGCATAAGAAATCAACTTTCAAATTCCAACATTTTACTAAATGACTTGTGAAATGACAAATTATAACATACTAGCTGTGCCTCGCGATCTTAACCGCAGTTTAAAAAAAAAATAGCCCTTGCTGAGTTTCTTGCCGGTTCTTCTCAGTACAAGGTCTTCCGCCGTAGATTTACGAACCGATGGCGTAGCGGTTGGCTTTCATAAGAGCTTGTAACAGCCTAGACTGAATAAATGACTTTGAGTTTTAAGTTTAATCCAGGCTGTCAGCTAACTCCATACCAAATTTTATTAAAATCGCTCTAGCCGTTTATATGAAGAATGAAAATATGAAGAAGTAACAAACATACACACTCACAAACTTTCGCCTATATAACATTAGTGTGATAATTACTGCAATGCTAATGCAATAATTAAGCTATGAATTTCAACTCTTAAACTTAATGAAATAGGAGTTAGTAAATGTTTTCCACAAACTTGATCGACTTTTGAAAATTTTATAGGTCGACCTTTTTTTCTAGACGAATAAACTTGAATGACCACATATATTTTGTGCGAATGAAAAAAATCCTAATAATTTACTATAGAATAAAAAAATCTTCGTTTAGGCGTCACGCTCGCACGTCCCTGACATACTTACTTGTCATTAAAATTATGCGGATTACAAGCTCAATACTTAATCCCCCTTCTTAGTAAACAAGGAGTAAGCTTGAACTAGTTACGCCATGTTTTGCAAGAATCACTCAAGTCCCATTTGTAATTCAATGAGCAGAGACAAAACATAGAGTAAATAATATAGCCGATATAACGTCGACGGACGGATTGCTACTTTCAGGCGAGAATCGCTTGACAAGACTTTATTAATCTCGATTATAAGAGAAACTCTGTAAACTATCAAGATCGAGTGCAAGCAATTCTCGTCTGAAAGTTTCCATCGTCAACATCTTAGACTATAAAGTTATTATGCCACATGCGTACATCACAAACAAAATACCTACTTTTTCATAGAAATCATATTCCTCAGACGTCACGAAAAATGGGAGATCGAGGTAACAAAGTCAAAGTAATCTGTATCTCGTACAGCGCACACAAACTTGAAAATTACAATAAATAAAATTACCATTTACAAAGCACGCACCGCACGTGAAGAAAAAACTGAACTTTTTCATAACACACACGCCGTGATGAGCTTGCTAATAAAAAAAACTGGCCAAGGGCGAGTCTGGCCTAGCTCTATTACGGAGCTTTATTAATGTTCCACAGGATTCCACACCTAATATCGTTACAAAGAGTAGATCATAAAGAAAGCAAAGCACAGCACCATTAAAATCATGAACACCTACCCTACCTACCCTATCCACCCAGGGTTGCCAGGTCGCCGAACCTAATAGCCGGACAGACCACCCAGTTTGGCCGGATATTTGGGTAAAGAGGGCGAACACCCTACATTATTAAGGATTTTGTGGCTCAGTAATATTAAATATCCAGCGACAGAGCACACTGCACTGACATAATCCTGACCTGGGACCTTTTCAGCGCAGCCGTGGATACGGCGTGGTATCGATTCTGGCATGATTCTATTAACTTAGGACTGAATTTGGCATCAGTCAATCCCTTTCATTCTCAACACGTTATGAATGGGATACGCTGCTGTCAGGTTATGTTTGCGTTTGGTGGTCGTGCCGAAATGGGCGCCAGTATGGTATATATTAAGCGGTATTTATTATGTTGTCTGTATCTTTTTGTTATTTTGTAAACTTATAAGAATAACAATTTATTTGTATTCGTGTACTGTGCTGAATAAAGATTTTGATGTCTGAAATACGACAAAAAAAATGTAAAAGCGACCGACAGTCAAGTCGCTTGCGCTCGGCTACGCTCGGCGCTCGCTCATTTACGAAATGTAAAGAGCCTAACAAAACCCGGAACAATCCGGACACTGTTTATTTTGGCCGGGCACGCAAAAAAAAGTTATGTCCGGCTTTATCCGGACGCCTGACATCGCTTTACCCACCTACGTCACGTCCGTGCCCGTGACTTTGTATCAACGCGAACATAGTCACGGGCACGGCTAGTCACAGAATATCGGTGATGATATCTCACAACAAGAACGTTTTCATCATTATCAATAGCCGGTTATGGCTTATTATCTAATTTGATAACTTAATTAAGGTAAGAGAGATAGGGCACAAGGGCACTGCGGATTTTCCGCTCGTATTGCAGAGCGATGCTATCAATGAGGAAATCCGTAAGAGAACCAAAGAAACCGTTATCGCTAGAAGGATTGCTCTGCTGAAGTGGGCGGGACTCGTAGCAAGAAGAACCGACCGGAAAGGTTCTAGAATGATCGCCATTCTAGAATGGCGATCACGCACCGGACGACGCTGGGCAGGCTCCCTACAATGTTGACCGACGATCTAGTGAAAGGTCGCGGGAAGCCGATGGATGCGAGTGGCGCAGGACCGATCGGTGGGGAGATCCTTGGGGGAGGCCTATACTCAGCAGTGGGCGTCGTACGGCTGACATGATTGCAGCGCGCATTTGGCAAAATAAAATGCTTGCAGAAGAATGAAGTGGAAATTACACTACTTGATGGTGAAGAGTTTCTGTTGGTGAGTAACGTACCAGGATTCCACGAAATAGTGGAAAGGGTTTAGATCTGCAAGGTAAGTAGGTCGTTGCGGCAAGTATTTCTGCCGCATCAGATTGTCTCCACTTTCACCTAGTGTCAGTAGGGTAAATTATGTCTTTAATAGACAGGAATCTAGAATATTTTTTTTTAAATAGGAACCTGTTCGACCCGCGTAGGGAATAAGTACATATTGTAGACATAATTAAAATTCTTCGGCTTACAATAGATTACAGCGGGATATACACAAGATTCATACAAACAAGTTATTTGAAAGCATGATGATGCTGCTTCAATTCAACCGCAAGGCCATAGATATCTTGCAGTTCAACAACCGCGAAACCACGAAGTATCACATACTTTACTAATGTTACTTCGCGATGACTGCTTATTAAAGTGGGAAGTACAATACAGCTTTTCTTAAATAATGGGGATGACGACAATATTTTTCTAAGTCTATGAGGTAAATTATTAAAAAGTATTAGACACGTATTGTTTCTTTATCCACTTAATGAAAACATTACAGAGATATATTGATAAAAATGTCGCATGACGTCACGTCTTGGTACAATTTTTACTTATATGTAACTTCACGCACGAGCCGCCACTCCCAATGTTTGACGCTTTATCTTTGTAATATTTTGGTTGAGTGACAAAAGAAAAACTAAATGTCGATTATTTTTTGATAATCTTAAAGACGGACTAAATATAATTTTGTTTACTTTACCCCTTCATCACGGTCATTAAGAATATACATATATAGAAGAAATAACGAGTTAATAGAATCATTCAACTGTGTGGATTGGTGCAATAGGTACTGCAGACAGACACAACTGCGATAATCGACATTCGTGCTTTGCGGAAAAAAGCGAGATTTGGAACCGTCTGATAGCCGGCTTTAACTTTACCTGTGCCATCATAAAGAACGGAAATGGATTTCCCGCTTACCTGTGCCATCATAAAGAAAGTGATTTATCATTTTATCACCACGCCATCATCTTCTTTAAAAGAGGAAGGGCATAACGGATTTCCCGCTGATACGGAGTGATATTTTTGGTATCACAAGCGTCTATAGGTCATGGCGGCCGCTTACCATGTGGCGGGCTACACTAAATAGATGATAGCTTCTCCATCATTGTGTTCAGTTCTTCACAATACACATCTGCAGTAATGCTCATTCCGTTTGGTAAGAAAGCTGTGATGAATGACACCGTCGCCAGACCACCAAACAGTGATCATCACCTGTCAGGTTTCGTTTGGGGCATTGTTTAGGTGTTAAACTAAGATCTAACCAAATTGCTGAGCGCATCCGATTGTCGAACAGAATCCATTTTTCGTCGCAAGTAACAATGCGATTCAATATGCCTTCGTTTGTATGCCTGTTGCGCAGTGCAAGGCTCGACTCGACACGCTGGCGATCATTCAATTCGTGGGGCTTCCATTTGTCAAGCTTTTTACCTTACCAATTTTACGCAAATGGACCAATATTGTTTTGATGCTAAAATCGAAATCTGCTGCTAATTCAGCTGCAGACTGAGAATCATCTGGCTCTACCCATAGTTCCACAATCACCTTTAACTCGTCAGTGTCAACTAAGGTTTGAATTAGTTATACTGTTGTGGCCCCAGTACGAATAGCGATAAGGTGTTATATTTAGTGTAAGCCTATACTTTATGTGTAGCGAATATCCTTATTTGTGACACTATCGTGGAAAATTTGAGGCAACTTTGAAACGCGCGTAATGATTTCTCTCTCACGTCACGCATAAGAAGCTAACAAATCACAGGGGTTTCTGGTCGATAAAAAATATGTAATGTGTTTCATGGAAATAAGATATTATTAAATCTGTGAGTAGTTTGAAAAGGAAAGAAAATCCGACTTTCTTTCCGACGAATGTCAGATTAGGCATAGCGGATTTTCAGCTCAAATTGAAGGTGCCCTCTGGGGTAGCAACCTCTACCTTATGTTCGGTGTTAAGTTTCTGTATGTTTTCAGGGCTCCGCAGGGTAGGAGATTGGCTGGAGCGGCACACTTTCTGCCGCATCATGTTTCTTATCAACTGGCCTCCACTTACACTTACCATTAAACGGGGTAGAGTAATTTGTTGACAATGGCAATGAGACTAGAAGCTGTTGGTCTAGTCTAGCCAATGAATAAAATACATTGCTAATTCTCCATACCTTATTTCCGACAACCATAAAGGGGAATTTCTCGATCCCGTTCTTCACTCCAGCGTAGTGGAGGAACTCGTTCAGCCACATCTTGACGTTGTTGAAGGAGCTGCGGTCATCGATAGCGTATGCGAGTATGCAGATGTCTGACCCTCGGTAGAACGGTGTCCTTAGCGACTTGAAGCGTTCTTGGCCAGCCGTGTCCCATACCTGAGATCAATAAACAAACATCGCTATTAAAACCATACTGTCATCATTCTGTCCGTCTGTTAACTCTTCACGCTGAACAACAACTGAATCCATTTGAATTTATATTGGTATAGAGATAGTAGCAGCACAGTAAAAGGACATAGGATAGTTTTTATCCATTTTTATACAAACTCTCGTCCCCCTTTTCACCAAAAAGAACAAGGGGAAAAAGAGGCGGAACTTTGTATCGAAAACCAAATATTTGAAAGCAGACCAAGTCGCTGGCACTCAATTTAATTTAAATAAATTACGCGTCAAGTTGTTTGTCCGGTGTGGACTCTTAAACTATTTAACCGATTTTAATCAAATTTGCACACCGTAAGCAGTATGATCCAACTTGAAAGATAGGATAGCTAATCTCAGTTTATAGTCGCAAATTATTACTTTTGGGCGGTAGGCACGAAGTTCGCCGAGTCAGCTAGTTTTCTTATATTTTCACTCACACCAATCATTTGATGAAATATTTTTTTCTTTATTCCAGTCCCCCTTGCATGAGCACCGCGATATGGTAAATTACTATGGAGTTTAACAGTTAGACGCGATAGAAAACGTGATATAATGTAAATTGTGGTGCTCATGCTGCAGGGACTCACTCCCTGCCCTGGCACTGGCATTTGGATCATTAACAGTTCTCTCTACCACGCAGCCTGTATAAAGCATCCAAATTCAATGAGGAATATTAGTAAATCGCGCTTCACAACCGTTAAAGAGATTTTTATTAAAATATCCATTTCCTAAAAAAGAAACACGTTAGAAATGCATTCTCAGCTGAATTTTGATGTTCCAGCAACTGACAGGCTGCAGAATGAATATTATAATAGGTAGTGAAAGTGAAGTCTTGCAACAAAAAAGATTAACTTCAGGAAAAAATGGTAATAAATAGATTTTAATGATTAAAGTATTAAGCGCAACTAATGGAAATTCTGTTACATAAACATCGACCTTTCACCGTCCTTGAGTTCGAACCAGACCTCATTTGTTTCGTTTATATATTAGTCCAACCATTAACGTTTAGTTAATCAGCGCTTTTATAGTTCGTGTTAAGTTGTAATTCTCTAATGAGGCCAGCTAACTTTATAAACCAAAATATACGGCGATATTAATGTGGGCGATTTGTCGAAAATAACGATTTATAGAGAAAAAAGGCTTTGATTTGAATAAAATTCTAACTGTCTAGTTCTCCTCCTAGAGGGTCTCGTCTAAAACTTTTCCTGATACAAAATTCTAAGTATTTTACTCAATACTACGGGATTGATTGCAATTTGCTAAGATAGCTAAGAAACAAATCTCAAAAAGAAAACGACAGTTACAGAGCGAGTCAGTAGTTTAATGCAATCATGTCAACTAATTGAGGCAACTATATGATATCGTTGAATTAAGCACATAATAAATTGCAATAATTCAGTTAACATGCCGTTCAGATGCAGGTCAAACAGTTTCTAGAGTCAATTTAATATTGAAACGTAACGATGTCCGTTTCGCAAATGCTATTTCAACACCTCTACGAACTGCCAACGTCGTTGAGGTCGCGTTTTCGTGGTCGAGCTCGTGTTGTGAATGATAAACTCAATTTTTCATGTAAACAAACAATGTAAGCTAAGAAACATATGGGCCGCCTGATGGTGAGCGATCAGCATCGTCTATGAGACGCTTGCGATACCAGAAAAGTATTATCTAATGGCACACAAGGTATTCAAAGTACCGCGTAAAAAATCTTAAACTTCATGTTAATTGTTACAACACAACATAATCTGACAATATTTACTTCCATAGTAGCGAGTGTTTCTCAAAATTTTCGCCCAACAAATTGTTCGCACACCGTGTTTGTTCAATAGTGCTTCTCAAAATTTTGTGTGCGTTGAGTCCGTGGCAAGTCCTCGGCGGACATTTTGCGTCTGCGCAGGCTATAATAATTGTTCTAATCTGTGATCAATTCATTTCGAATTCAACTCTGACCATCATCTTCGTTACCCCGTAAACAGAGTGGAAACATAGCACTATTAAAAGGTAGTGTGTATTTACTATGTGATACTCTACCCTCTACTCTAGAAAGGGACACGGTTTTCCCCAGACGACCGCTCAGATTCGAGCAAAAAATCCCCGAAGCCACCTCTTTTAACTCCTGGGAGAGGTTTAATTTAAATAAAGGTTTGGCAATTTCATCTGCCTAGAATAATAGTTATTTTTTTAATTAACTCTAACTTGTAATTACTCCCTCTATTTTATTTTTGCGATAAAAAGGACATTCATTTTCAGAAGTCCCCCTTTACCTCTATACCATAATTCTTCAAAAAGTTTAAACTTATAAATAGATCAGTTTATGAATACGTTGAAGCATCAAAAACAAACAGTCAATTAAGAAAATCATAAAAGATCTAATAGTGTTTACTACTAAAAAGTTGTAGAATTTCTCTTTTTTAGGAAATATTCGGTTATACTCATTCAAAGTAGTATGTAGTTTTGTAGATTTCAAATTATTTCCTAAATCTATTCGATGAGTTTCGCCTAATAATGATTTATTTCACTTAAATTTACGTTTGCTGCTAGGAAAACTGTCTAGGTTTCCCTTGATATCTCCTGGTTTAGATGGTGTACAGGAGGGGCCAGATCAAGGTTTATGGCGCGATTACAATTGGTCGTTACCCCGAATATGAGTGCCAATGAAATTGGAGTAAAAGAATAAGTGAAAATGAATGGAGTCGAGTATGCCCGTATTCCTTTTGTATAAAGGACAGGTGCACCCGAATACAGGCTAGCGACCAATTGTATGTTTTTTTATCGCAAACTATTGTCAATCTAGTCATTAGAACAGGAGCATAAGAATTATTTTGGCATGTAAGTGACATAACATTCAGTTATTATTTTAACACATACACACACGTAAACATAATGATGTAACATTATGATCTAACTTAAAAACAAAAAATGTAGTCTACTCATGATTATCTTAATCATCTGCAAACAATAAAGTCTTCTTAGACAGATAAGATAGCACAATAGCGTTTTAAGGTAATACAAAAGTACAGAATCACCAGCAAATTATATGACAAATTAAAAAAAACCCTAAATTTACTGTTACTTTAAAGTTAATACAGTTCATAGATATGATGAAACTATTAGTTAGATGATATTATGGAAGCTTCGGTGCCTAACATTTTTTATGGATAAAAATAAACATAAGAAGCACATACTTAAATTAAATAAAATAAATTAATATTTCAAACACTCACACCAATTAGCCTTGCCCCAAAGTAAGCACTGTATGACTTGAGTTATGAGATACTAGCTAGGGTAACAGATAGAATACATATACTGATACATACATATATAAGTATATAAAAAATCCATGACTTAGGTACAATCATATTCACCATACTAATTTTTGCCCCATTAAATTGCTACATTTTACATGAAATTAGAGAAAAATTCTCCAAATTATTAAATAATAATATTTTATTGCTTCATTTATAAGCATACATAAAAATCTACATACAATTCCATATTTTTTATTAATTTTGTTTCACCAAACCCTCTCTAATTTCATGGCAGCGAAGAAAATCCTTTTCAGTTCTATTTAGGCATAGGCAGGTTTTATATTATATTGGATTTAAAAAAATAAATTTCACTACATTGTGCACAACCAAACAGCTAATTTCCAGCTACTATTTAAAAGTGCACTGTAACTTTTCATTAAATTAAGACTTACCTCAAATAAGAGTCTGGACTAAGTATATTTTTAAATTAATTAAAAAAAATGCACATTAAGCCTTGCAGAGCACAATATTGTTGTTGATGTGGATGATTCAAATAACTAGCAAAACCCAACTTCTGAGAAAATAATCATTTATTTTATTTTATTTAAATAGTGTACATTCCCAGAGTCTGTATGATTTAAAAATGGAAAGTATGTTGTACAACATATCAAAAGATTCACAGTATTTTTTTTCAAATGTACCGTTTTATTGAAAATAAATATTATTAGTTATTTAGTTCTTCCCCTACAACAACTATATGTTGGGGTTTCCTTTATAGTTGAGCTAGTCAAACAGAAACCTGGTACAATGCTTTGCATTTTATTTAAATACATAGTTTGTCACCAAGCACTTCCCTCTGTCCGCCTTGCATACCACTCTAATATGCCATTCTACTTTCTCAATTAAGAAAGGCAATTGGCTGTTTAAAGAGTCAGTCTCGGTTATTGATTGTTTACTCACAAAAAAACTGTTATAAAATTACAAAAGCTAGAATAAAAAAAAATATTAATAAAAAAACTTACTTGTAAAGTGTACTCTTTTCCATTGACTGGTATAGCTTTATTCATAAATTCCACGCCTATAGTGTGAAAGCTATGATCATCGAAGTGGTTGGATATAAATCTACTCATCAGACACGACTTCCCAACTCCACCGTCTCCTAAAATAACTATCTTCAAGAGAGTATTCCTATTCGGTGCCCTGCCGTATGCTCGTTCATTATCCTCGACCATTATGTTAAATAATCACCATTATAGTCCACAAATGCTTCTTTTATTATTCCAGCCTTGAATGTCAATGCAAAATAAGACTGTTTTTAATTAGTGAGTCACTTTAGCAGAGATTTCTACGCACAAGCAACTGGAGATTTGTTCACTTATTAACACTTAAAGTACGACTCTTCGGCACAGAATACAATTTTATTCAATTAATTGGAAAATAGTAATTCATTAAATTAATTGTTTATAGCAGACAGCTGTTTCGGTAAATTTACAAGCGTCAATTGAATTGAACCGAGTGTCAGACTAACAAGAAGCGAGCGACAGCTAGGGATGCCCAATCTATATCGATCTTATAGAAAAGCGATTAAATACAATGCGATTCGATCCAGTTTTTTTTCATAGGATAAATTTTTTCCCCACGGGAAACGTACCCATCAAAATTTAATAACATGAAATAAAAAAAAATATTCAACGGAACCGTAAAAAAACAAGTAAATAAAACATATAAATCATATAGCACGTACTTTCCTTGCACCTTTTATCTATACTTATAAACGCGTAACCATTGGCACAAAATATTTATTTAAAACAGTTATTGGTAATCACATGAAGTTATTCTATAATCAAATAACTTCATGTGATATTTGTTCCCTACGGCCAACGAAATTTGAAAACTCTAGATCAAGGCTGCTCTCGTGTTGTGCGGATAAATCTAATTTACCTATACTATGGACCAATGTATGACGAATGAATAGTAATACACAAAGTTATTTTTGGCTGAGCTAGATACAAAGATAATATGTGAAAATATGTGCAAGTATGTATTAGACAACGATAAGTTGGTGAAAAACGCGCTTGTATGGTGTTTAGTACTTTAACTTGGGTATTAAGCCACAGTATCACGTCATAATACCTATGATTTACCATTTTAAATGACTACCTACAAACAGCTTAGCAAGAAACCTTACGAAGAAGCGTAAACGCGAGTAGGGTTACCATCTGACCGGATAAATCCAATCTTGACCGGATTTTTCATAGGTCTTGGACACAATCGGTCCTTACACCATATTTACGAGTATACTTTATACCTTCATTTTTGCTCCGTTACCACACAATTATATTGAAAGTAATAACTTGAAAGAATCATTTTATTTAAAAAAAGTAGTGGAAATTCATACTTTTTAAAAGATTTTGCCAGCGGTAAAATATATAAAACTAGATGGCGCCCGCGATAGTTAGGTATGATTTCTGACAGAAATATTGCTGAACGATCCATCAGATGATCTACTGAAGATTCCTCCAAGCAATTGCTGACTATCGTTTCCTCTAAATTATTGCATTCAGGTCTAATTTAAAATTAGCTCTTTATTAAAAAATATTTCCGTTGATTCTTGACTTCGTCCACGTTAACGTTTTTTTGAGAATTCCTCAGGAATCTATCATTTTTTAGGGATAAAAGTGATCATTTGTCTCAATCTAGGTAATAAACTATATATATATGTGAAATTTTATCCAAAGTCATTATGCCGTTTACGGATTTAATCAATCCCTGCTGTAAAATAATCCCGTCAAAATTAGCAACCCCTTTTCACCCCGTTAAGGGCAGTTCAGTTTCATAGAACCCTGATACATGATATTCTTTATTTTAGGCCTCAAGCATAATACTGAGTTTATAATTAATCAAAAAGCGCGTTATAATTCATCCATATAAAAACTCCGGCACTATTCGATCCACTATAAGGGAGTAGATTAGGAAAACTAAAAATTTCAAACTTTATAATTTGCCTCGCTGGTTGGCGCTTTTGAAGTCGAATTATATTCTATTCTATAACGTTTTTTAACCAAAGATTTTCAATATGCTGCGACCAGTTTTCCACATTAAGGTCCTGGTAACCCTAAGCGCGAGCGACCGGAGCAGAAATGGGCTCAATAGGCGCCTTGTCCGGTCCCAACCCGACGTGTAACGTCATCGCATGTTCAAGCGGCGTCTGATTTTTAAAATATCGTGCGAAAACCATTATTTTAAATTTATAAAATAGCGATACAATTTTTATGTAACAAAAAAAAAATGGGTGCGTGTACTTATGTAGGCGCGTGAGAAGTTATCCTTCTTTGGCATCGTTTAAAATTAGTTTTTAATTGCATGCAAATAATTAATTACAATAAATTAATAAAAAGTCTGGAAAAGGACACAGTCAATAAAGTTCAGTTTTAATTTGAAAAAATAAATAAATAATCAAAATATTCAATTAAAATCGCTACTGCATATAATTTATTAGAACATATGTGATTTGCACTTGTATGAAACTCAAACACGTATTCCGAATATACAAACTAGAAACATGTGGATAAATATTATAAATATGAATACCTATAACTGTTACTTTATTACAAAAAATAAAGATGTGGTTTTTGGTTCTACTACACCAATGGTCAAGAGATGGCGCTGTAGTCTCCTGAATCGCGCTTTGGTTCCGTTGTTCCAGATTAATAAATACTTTTGATAGGCCTTCACAATGCAGTCGTTAGCACCCACAAAATAAAGATTCTATTTCTATTTTGTTGGTAGATTTTCTTAATGTGCGGTAAACACAAAAGTAACAGCATGAAGTTGGTCGCCAAAGTCGACCAACTTCATGCTGTTAATTTTTTGTGTTACAGTGATGCACGCGCATCTTAAAATTTCACTCTCATCATTTTTTCATAACGCGCCTAAAGAAGTATAACTTCAAATAAGTTTTTTTGGCGCTAGTTGATTCAGATCGGGAATCAATACACCGGGTTATAATCCAGATCGATTCCAAAAATCGATTCAGTGCATATGATCAGGCATCTCTAGTGTCATTTTCTTGTCAGTTTGACAGTTTTATGAGTTTTTGGCGGGATTTCATCGAGTGTGGTTGGCGTCCTATTTTAATTATTCTTAAATTCATTCATAGTAGATATTGTGAAATAAAATTGGTGTGATTTTGTGTTACAACTGTCTGCGTAACTGAAGAATTAGTAGAATCGTCAAAATATACGCTATTCCGGTCAAGTGGACGTGAGAATTTTATTGTAGTATTATTGACTACCTCACAGAAGCTTATCGAAAAAGCCAGCTCGATACATTTCGTGCCAAACACTTCAAGAAACATTGGAATGCGTCACATCGACATTCTAATGTAAAAAGAAAAACAGAATAACTTAATTTAAGACTAGGCTGTATGGGCATTGTTCCCCTTGCCTTCCCTGAAAAGGGAGAACTTGACCAAAAAAAAAATAATTGACAGTTTTATACTAACGCCCTCTTACATAATAACGGGTAACAGATTCTTAATACTCTGCTACAGCTGTGTCATCCTAGTAGAAAGCATATAAAAAAAGCACTCACTAAAATATTAGATAACTTCAGCCAAAAATATTTTTTGGGAAATATTTTATCTTAGTGTTCACTAAATTAAGACGGAAAATGAGGTATAATGCCGAAAAATATATTTTCTTCCTGGTCTAGATCGTAATAGTAAGCATAAAAAGCCTATTCGATGTTACTCCTTTTTTCCGCTAGATGTCACTTTCTCACTATTCCGTCTTGCTTGTTTTGAAAGCTGCTCGTATCACGAACCGTGATGTCACGTTCACTTCGAAGACCGATCTTGTTCAACTCGACTCGACGTTCGTTATTATTATTCCGCTTTGTTTTGCGGAGGTGAGTGGACGCGATGTAACGATTGCTCGCATTTGTTCGATTGTATTCAATGTTTTTTCTTGTTAGACATATATTTGAGTGAATAAACACTGTATTTTGCTTAAAAAAGTGTTACTTATACAACAGGACAGTGCATGTGTGCAGTTTGCGAATATATTAATTCATTTGCGCAATCGTTCGTGAGACTCGATGTCAATAAACTTGTCGTTGGTATTTTATGGGAAAGGTGTGCCGCGTCGTGGTTCTACCTGTACGCGACGGGTTGGTTTTTGAATCGGGGATGGTGTCTGGAAAGTCGCCTGTGGTGCCTAAATTGATGGAGCCATGGTGTAGTGAGAAGAGAGGTGAGTGGCATTAGGTGGCGTTTGGGGGCCGCGCGAGGCAGCGCCGGGAGGCGGGGTGCGCGGGCCGCGGCTCAGCGTGCATTCACCTCTGACCCGTGCGGGGCGAGCGGCGCCTCAAGGTCGGTGCGCCGCCTGAAGGTCGCTTGTCACGTGACGCGAAGGGTGCCCAACCCCCGCCCCTCTCGCCTGTCGCACCCTCATTTGTTTGGGTTGACCGCGTACAAAAGTAATAATAATAGTTATTGTTTTAATTTTTTAATGGCGTGGAGCGCGATTATTATTTGTCATCAATGCAAACATTGTACTTCTACTAGTTTCAAGGTTGTTAATTTATATGAACTTACTAGTAGATGTCCGCGGCTTCGTCTCCGTGAAAAAATTGGTTTCCCATATAAATTTTCACCCCCTTAATAAGGGGTGATTTCTAGGATAAAAAAATCCTTTTCCGGGACTCAAACTATCTCACACCATATTTCATCTTAATCGGTTCAGCGTTCCAAGCGTGAAGACATAACAGACATTTCATAGGTAACTTCATTACGAAAATTCAATACGAACTGTTCATTGTCGAATTTATTAACCAAGTTCCTTTCTAAATGTTTGATGTATTAAACACACCCATCCGTTATTAATTAAAATTCACGAAAAAATAACGCATTTTTGACATTACTTGATTAGTACTTAGCAAATAATTTCTGGAACAAAAGATACGCACAAGCGAACTATTGATTTTTTGTATTTGTTTGTTTGTTTGTTATCACTAAATACTTAAATAAATGATTGTTTTGACGTGGTTTTGACAGGGATAAAGATTCTAATTAGCAATGTGTGCGATTTTGGTCTAAAAATATGTATCTAACCTATAAAATATTTTTTTATTTATTTGGCTAAGCGTTACAAAAATAAAATATAGGATCAAGTTATGAATGTATTGTTATAAAATTATGCAAAGCCATTGAACATCAACATACCTTTCTTATCGTTTGTCAGTGTTCAAAATTAAAAAAAAAACTTTTTTTTATTTTAACAGATAGTGAGAGGGGGTGTTAATTGTATAGGCAATCTTTATTATTCGATCGCAGAACGACTATAATAAATATTATCGCGTTATGCCGACACTTCACTATTCGCGTGTGTATGGCTATTCATGTTTGCTATAATTGTAAACTTGACATCATCATTTTAAGGACAGACTGTTGTCAAGTATGTATACACATAGCAAATACGAAAAGCCAAGTGAAGTATCGGCATAAGAATTTGTTTTTGTCAAACACAATACCTGCCATACATGAACAACGATTTGTTCTTTAT